GGGGAATTTTACCCTTTGCAAGCTGCCGGGTTGAGGAACACTGTTGCCTTCTTCAATGGCATACTGGAAGGGATCAGCTGGTTGCCAAAAACCTAAATAAGAGAAGAAGAGCAGAGTTCAATTTACCTTGGTAATTGGTAAAACGTTTCAAAAGAATGCATCTCTACAAATGCCAATGGGCTTTCAAGACTCATGGCATTCAAATGACCTCCATCTTTAGCCATTGTACAGGTCTCCTACTCAGAGACCTGCACTCTTATCAACAGCTCACACCACTGTCACAAGCACTCTTCAGCTCAATTTTACAAATCCACCAACATTTTTTTGTCAACCTCTGGTTTTATGCCATGGGCACAGATCCAGGGAGCTATCCTTGACTTGAAGGTTACTTGATTTTCCTTCCTTATGTAATTCTCATACACGTGCCTTCTTTATGCATCTTTTTCCACTTCTGTACTTCACTTCTTCTATCTCTTCTGCTCATTTTTGTATTTTCTATGCTTAAGTTTTTGAAGATATGAAAGACAATTACCACAGAAAGTAAACCTCTTTGAAGTCACCTAAAGCCATCATCGCCTCCACACCAAAACTGGTTTTGAGAGCGATGATGTCAACTCAGCAGTTCCACCCAGAAGCCCCAGAAATAAAGTAGGAACAAAAGACTGCTGCACTGAACATAAGACACAGTCAACTCTCCCTGGGTTTTTTCCCCTTTATCTTAAAAATTAATCCCACTAGTAGGAATTTTTACTTTGAAGGAGGTGGACATTGTACACAAAGCACAGTGGATTTTAGTGGTTGTTAGCTGTTCAAATTTATAATCAATTCCACTTGCCAACCTTGCTCAGGAAACCTCAATTAAAAGAAGCAGTAAGCTGGCCATGCTGCTTAAAACATTCAAATTTCTTCTTCATGAAAGGAAAAGGATGAGAGATGTTGCTGAAAGAAAAGGAATCTTCAAAGAAAGGGAAACAAATCAGTAACTCTTAAGCTTTACCCAAAAATCAGCTCAAAAATATACCAAATTCTTTTATGGCAATTATTAGGTAGGAATTGGGAAATATAGGGATCCCTCTAGCATGTTACAGCTGTTAGAAACAACTAATTATTTGCTGGTGGGGGACAATGTGCTGTATTTGCTCACTTTAAACAGCCTAACAAGGCTCATAAAGAATTTATGAGTAATGACATAATCACCTTTTTATGTAATATACTTAGACATTCATGTTACATACAGGGGCATTGCTAAAGCAAATGCTGATTTTTCAGACAGGAAATAAAAAAATAATAATGCAACATTCTAGAAATCTTTTTTTTTTTTTTTCTTCAGAACACAACATAAGGAAAGACAACTTAATTCCAGGCATTCAAAATGGTTATTAAATCTATATATAAAGGTATAATTTTGGAAAGTCAATGTCTTTTTCACTTCCTTGTCAACTGCACACTTCCAGGTATTGTATTCTGGACTTTTAAGATGACAATCACTATTTTGCAACTATGAAAACCCCTTTATTCAAAGGCTTTTTGTTAGCTTTTTTTATGTTAGCATTCATAATGCTTTCTGAAAACTACATTCCTTTAAAGGAAACTGTCCCAGCTTCACAGAGTGAATTAAATGCCAGCTAAACAGGCCCTCTTTAACACATGCCCAGAGTTTGGCACCAACAAGGTCAACCAGCGAGGCCACATTTGCAGAGGAAGTCCACAGTCAGCTGACACTGGCTTATTCCACAGAACGAGATGGAAAAGGTTTATGGTATGATAAATGGGTTCTTTATTATAGAATCTTTCTATGATCATCTGCCACTCCAAGGCTGTTGTCAGAAACTGGTATTTGAATTCAGACATGCATGGTGGAATCGCTGCATGAAATACTGCTGTAGAGGATACTTCAGCAGGAAGGTGGGTGCCTCATTAATTTGGTATTTTAACAGGCTTAAAAACTTAGAAATCTGATGTGAAATAATAGGGAACACCGACCCCCATATTTCACTCAGACTAAAACCTCTTCTTGGGTGAGTCTGCCTCTATTTTTCCCCCAATACTTACACAGCACTATAAAGCAAGTAGCATTTTTCAAACAATTACAGACTGTTGTTCCTCTGAAGAACGTATCAGACATCTATTGCCTTACTGCTGTATTGCCCTGTGTTTTGAAGCAGTATTCGGCCCTGACACATCAGTGAGAATGGAAATTACCGCAAGAATTGATTACTAGGCTTTCTGGTTCATTCCTGTCTAATGCAGGAGTCTTCTGCAGGATATTTTCCCAGGCTTCAACCACTGAAACTGCAGGAAGCTCTATTGACAGTGCTTTTGCACTTTCATTTATGAAAATAAGCCATAGTGGAATAGACCCCATCACTTAATGTCTGGAATTAAGCAACAGGAAAGGCAGAATTTCCACAACAGAATTATCTTCCTGTAACAGTCTTTCCTTAGCAGTTACACCTTTTTGACTTAGGACTTTTAACTTCTCCTTATATACCATCCCATCAATGCCTTTTTTTTTTTTTTGTCTAATTTTTTAATTTGGTCAGCATGCTTCAAATGCTGAGATATTAAGTGCTATATTTGGTGATATAAAAAAATTCTATCACTTTGCTATTATGCAATAAAAATGAATATCGAAAACATAACAATCAAGAACAACTGACAGCATGAGTTGGAAATGCTTTTGATTCTGAAGCTGTAAGTTCCATTTATGAAAGCAGTACTTTCAGGGAAATATTTTTCTTATTCTTCCATCAGACTTTCTTACATCTATTCTGGCATGAAGTTCCACTGCTCACATTAAGTTGCTGTGAATATCTCTCCCTCAACAACAGACAGGCTAAAACTGTGATTATTCAGGTGCACCACAGAAGCAGGATAATCTCAGTAAAAGTTCTTTAATGAGAAAATTAATTTTCACTATTCTTCTTAGGCCCCAGTATGTAGCAATGATGGGAGCAGTGTTATACCCTGCCAGTCTCCAAGACCTGGCATGGGGAAGCAAGTTTAGAAAAAACTTTACTTCTGGGAGGTAGAAAGACTCCTAAAATCCTGCAGCATACCAGCAAGGTAACCAGAGCAAGTAAGCAGTACCCGTGCAGCGATGTCATCCATGGGCAGCAGTACTTGTGCCCCTGAAAGACTGCTTATTAAGGACAAGATTTATTTATGGGAATACTCCAGTATGGGAATTTGTTCTTTGCTGGTTGCCCATGCAGGTGACAAACTACAAAATGCCATAGTCAGTATACTCAGAGAATAACTCTCTCTGAATACTAGCTTTCTTGTCAGTAATCAGCAAATGGGTTGTCTCTAATAAGGTCCCGGTACATGGCTTTCAAAAGTGCTAGGTCAGCCATCACAATTAGTATCCTTGATAAATTCACTCAGGATCAAACTGACAAGCACAAGGTCTCTCCAGCTGAGCACTAACCTGAAGCAGTTTGCACTGCTTCTGCCCAGACTACACCCATCGTAGTGTAGATTTCAGTCTCCTGTTTTATCAACAAATCATCTTCATACCACAATGTTACAGGAACAGAATACACCTGCAGAAACGGAGGTCTGGGTAGCTACAGCAGTAACTAAGACTACCCCAGTGATAACACTGCACCATCCATCGCAACAGGAGTCAGGGCACAAAATGTACAGTACCCGGCTGCAGGCCAGAGGCCTCATCCGCCCTTTGGCACTTCAGCAAAAGAACACAGATGGCATCATTATAAAGCTTGTCACGTAGAGAGGGCCCACTGGGAAAAATCTCAGGAGCCCTGCGCAACCAAGATAAGAGGGAGATTTCAATCTGATTTTTTCACTTTAAACAGTATTACCTGGGCTTCTTGGCATGCAGCTCTTCGTAGCAGGTTATCGCTATTAGGTAAGACAGAAAAGAAAGTGGACATTAGGTTGTGTAAGCTTAAAACAATTTGCTCTTTTCTAAATGAAGGTACATACCCATTTTACACACACTTTGAGCACTAAAACCAAAAACAAACAGGTTATGGCTTATTTAACACTTTTTAAGGATGAAACACACCTATCTAAGCACACGTGCGTATTTTCTTTCTGCATGTGCACACAAACACCCTTTCTATACTAAAGAAAAGCAGAAAAACACCCATAAGAACGACATGGACCTTCTTACGGAGTGAGTCCAGAGGAGGCCACAAAGATGCTCAGGGGGTTGGAGCACCTCTGCTACAGAGACAGGCTGAGAGAGTTGGGCTTGTTCAGCCTGGAGAAGAGAAGGCTCCAGGGAGACCTTAGAGCAGCTTCCAGTGCCTAAAGAAGCTACAAGAAATCTGGAGACGGACTTTTTACAAAGGCGTGTAGTGACAGGACAATGGGGAATGGCTTCAGGCTGAAAGAGGGGAGATTTACATTAGATATTAGGAAGAAATTCTTTACTGCAAGGGTGGTGAGACACTGGCACAGGGTGCCCAGAGGAATTGTGACTGCACCATTGCTGGCAGTGTTCAAGGCCAGGTTGCACAGGGCTGTAAGCAACGTGGTCTAGCAGAAGGTGTCCTTGCCCGCGATCTTTAACCAAACCCAAACCAAATCCCTTCCAACCTAAACCATTCTATGATTCTGTGAGTCTATGAAAACGAAGACCAGGATGCCAGTGTGCTGAGATTACATAAGCTACAAGATACAGTATAACTGTGTGATTTATTCTTTAAATTGATACATCACTGTTCTCCAGATCTAAGGTGTGTATTTTTTCAGTGTTAATACTGCCTGTTATTTGCACTGAAGGTACATACTATTCTGGCAGCATAGAAGGGATTTAGACTAGACTTAAGTGTGCTTAAATCCACGGACTTAAATCTTTGTGCAATGTAATTGCAAACTCCCCTCTCTATTTGCTCCTTTGTAAGCTGAACACATGCTAACGCAGCATCTACCACCCACCTAGGTCTGAGCATGGCCCAAAGCAGTAACTCAGACAGGTGAAAAATCACTCAAGTCACCTAAGTGAAGTTTAAAAACAAAGAAGAAAAGGTAAGTATTAGCAATGTCGCTGACGGCCATTTCAGAAATAAATTCCAGGCTAATCCTTATGCTTGCCATTGGTGACAGACCACACTAGCAAGGTGGCAAGCAGGGTACAGCTGGCAAGCAAACTGGAGACAGGACTACTGGGTGAGGAACGAAATTCCATTCTTCCCCAGACCAAAAAATGCCCTTGCAGACAAAACAGGGAGTCCTGTTCTGCACTGCTGTAAGTCTCGCTGGTTCTCTAGATACCAGACACTCCTCCTCCTTGCTAAAACCAAAGAACTCCTTCAGTGTGTCCTTGTCAGTAATTGGCAAGACAGTGTATTATTGTCTCAAAAATACCTAGTACCAAAAAAAAACCCAATTACAGTCAGCATACCAAATTGAATACACCAATTAAAAGGATTCAAGGCCAACCAGGAAAAACAAGTGACTACGAAAGCAGAACACTCCTGCTGCACAGATTTAAAAAGCCTGGCAATAATAGAAATACAAAGAAAGAATTCAAGCATGGAAAAAGAAAATACGTGAATAATACCTCAACAGGATAACAAGTAACTGGAATGGCTAAAACCCCAAATTCCTCAGAGGAATGCTCTTAACTATCATGTTTGCTCCCTAAAACAAAAGGAGTAAGGCATTTGTATTACGCACCTGAAATATTACCTAAAGGAGCAACAGACTTGGTTTTGGTTGCAGTAATATAATGAAAGCACAGTAGTTACAATAACTACCTCTGAGAAGGTTTTGCGTTCCAAGCTGAACAACACTGTCACAGCTAATTCCAGTTCAATCAAGACAGCATGACAGGCTAAGTCCGCACAGTGCTACTGAGGGCACAAGCCCTCACACAGGGACTTATTTTCCCCCTGTGACTATGTGCGGCCAGAGCAAACACAAAGCAGCTGCAATTTCAGTATGTGAAGTTGAAATACTATGGGGTCTCACGAAAAACCCACTCTCAAATGCTGGCTGCACAGTTGACAATTGCTATCCTCACCTTACTAACAAATTGTAGCCAAATCCATGTTATCTGTTTACTTCACATTGATGACATTTTGTCCAGAAGTCAAGCTGTGCCACATTGCCAACCAGTACATTTTCCTGGTGCATGCAACCTTATGCTGCAGTGTTAATCACCTTTAAAATGGAATCCAGCACAGCTTTTCAAATGCAGGCAAAAGATACTGTGCTATCTGACCCAACCTGCAAAGACCCTTAAAACAACTGTCAAGGATGCAAGCTTGATTCAAGTCATCAGACCCTTAACCATAAAACTTGGACTGAGAGAGATGCTTATGTTCTCCTGCACTGAAGCATCTACAGAAACAGAAGTCTACCCTGACAAATATCATTTTAGTGTCAGAAGGAAAAGTTTAGGTTCTAAGACCAGAAGAACCTGTCCAGTAATTCACAGGTGATTTGTCTCATCTCTCCAGTAGCATAGCACCCACAATCCCATGCCACCCCGGCCATACTCAAAGCATTTCCACTAATTCAACTAGGACATATATTTCAATGTCATCTGAGTTTGGCTTAAAGATGTCCCAAGTTTGGCCTAAAGGTGCCATGTAATAGGAAAATTTTATTTCCTTAAAATGTTATATCAACACTTATCTGTCTTCACACTTCAATAAAAATAGCACATGTGCACTCACAGGAGTGTATCTGCGAAAGCAGCAGTCCTTCTCCTGTATTGAGCTCTTGCTTTCACTCATCTCATATGGCTCACTTGAAGCACCTTAAGTGAGTCTGGAAGTCCTCTGCAAGTCATACCAATTAATAAATACAGCTAGAAAAATGTTAAAAACAGCAAAAAAGGTAACTTCTTAATGTCTTCTGTCTTGGTATGTATCGGATTATAGATTATCAGAATAATCTATAATATAGATTAGATTATTCTCTGGCTGCATACCAGCACCCAGAGAAGAGACTTTAATAATAAACATAAGATTCTGTTGATTTTTTTGTACCTTGTTGACTAACATTAGGTAGTAACAAAGCCTCTTCACCCATACTAGAAGATAGGCAGGTGGAGGCTGAGGGAAATTGCTGCATTGCCTTAAAGAACACAAAGAGATTTCTTCTGACTTGCACCATATCCACAGCAAACTAAAAATCAATTCTTACTTAATGCTTCCCCTAAGGGCTTACAGACACAACTCCAACCTTAAAGCAAACGGACGTGGAGTATATCTGCTGGCCAACCCAAGGCTGCCTTCCTGCTGTGAGAATTAAGGGTCACACAGCTTACAGCCCAGCCAACTTGCTTAAGCAGTAGAAGACTGGCAGACAGAGAGGAACAAGCAATAGCAGTGGGGTATGAAAGAAATAAGATGTCCTAAGCTGAACCCACAAGGCAGAACTTTAACTGGTTCAACAAAGATAAAGACAATCCTGCAAGGCTGGCAGCCGCTGCAGTGCAGGGTTCTTAGGTGAACAGAGCAGGCTTATGCCAAAGCAAGGAACTAATACAGAAATAAAGAGCGAGCAACTGTCCAGAGCTCACCATGTGTCTGCCATGTCAGGCTGCCAGAACACACCAGTCTATGAGAGCACAACATCTGTACAATCTGCTTAAACAGGGGCTGCTTTGATTTGTCTGCAACATCCCTGGCACAGGACTGGTGGCCACTGCTCCTGTCCTAGGTATTTTCATCTAGAATAGGGAATCAACACTCTTACATACAAGCACGAAGATACACATAGTTGAGTATGTGTGCTCCTCCAGCTGAGGCTACATCCTCTGCCCAAGTAGCAGGAGGGGCTAGGGCTGAAAGGTCAGTTCCCATCATGAAAAGTCAGCCAGAGAAGCAATGAACTCAACAAGAAGACAGCAAACCTGAACCAAAGCAGCTGTTTGAGGCCCACAGCTGCATCAAGGGTAAGCCTTGGTCTTGCAGACAACCAAAGCAACTCCCCTAAAAGTGACCATACAACGAATGTATAAAGAAGCTCATGTGTGAGATCCCCTTTCAAAAAGATTATCAGCATTAAATCGAAGACTATTAGGTATATTCAAGCAAGAAGCAGACTAAAAAGTCTCCTGTTCAGTATCAGCCTCAAAACACAGTTTTGAGAGGAGAAACACGACTAAAGCTGCGCATATAGGATCACTCCTCAAGAGCTATAAAAGAAATCCGAAAAGAGATTTTATCTTAGCAGAGAGGTTATTGTCTGCTTCCAATATGGCGAGAGCACAGTATCCTCTTTACTGGATATTAGCATTTATTTCCAGCTTGGCTTTGGAAGAGAATGAAAGGCAAATCTTTGTTTTCATCAGCCTTACCCAAGACGCAGAATTTATACAGTTTTTTTGACGAAGTTTTGATGAAATGAAGTCAGCCACTCAAGAACTACATGCAAAAAGGTGACAAAGTGAGTTATCAGTTGGCAAACAGGCAGAAGAGACTAACATCCAAATTATAGATAACAATAACACTCAGATTACAGGCAGGCAGTCAAAGGCCCAGATGCCTTGCCAGCATTTTCTATGGAGGAAGTCAATACTTTAACATCTACAGAGCAAAACTGAGTATCTGATGAGTCCACCACCTCAGTGTAGTATCAAGGGTCTCTCCCCACTGTGGCAAAGTGATAATCACTCACCCAGTGACACCACTGTAACAGTCTGGCCAAACCTGACAATCAGTTAAGCTGATGTCCATCATGTCAGAGATTAAATTTCTGCTGCTCTGAGGCAGCTGGTGACTCACTGCACCACCTGGACATACAAAGCACAGCAGCAGCTCAGTTCAGGAAAGATGACACACGACATAAAGGTGAGAGGGGCTTCCAAATTTGGTGGAGATTTTAGAACAGTCATATAGTATCTTTATCTGTAATCAACCCCACATGTGTACATTCAA